AGTCTTCCAATTCGCTGGAGAGACTCATGGAATCCCTCGGGCCACTGTCATATTCTCCTACGCTCCCCTCGGATTCTTCCCCTTCGCTCTCCATCTCCTCTCTTCCTTGTGCCTCTCCTCCTGAGCCCCTGACAATACGCAATAAACAATATAGAATTCCTTGAAAACCATAACAAGTACAAAATGAAATCTTTAGTCTCTAAGCCTCTGAAAATCTTTAATTGAAGCGAGGTACCAGACATTGTACAATGAAAGACAAATGGGTATTCAGCCAATATGTCCAACACTGGACAGAGATTCCGGATATTGACTCCTGTTTCATAGAATTCTTTGTCAGCGTGGTGGGAGGATATAGAATAGCTTCATCAACCCATCTTATTTCAAATGAATGTATGCAAATGAAAATATCAAATGCTGTGGAACAGTGCTCGTGTAATAATGCAGTCACAGATAGGGGCACAGCTGGGCCACCAGCCGAAGCCCATGGACCGCAAAGGATCCAGGACTGGCCCCAAGCCACTGACCAGCTTCTCCGCAAGGCAAGACACGGACGGCTCCATCATCTGTGGCCTTGTGGAGAAGGAGAGCTGCGTGGCCTCAGATGCCTTACTCAGGGCTTGCTCACACTCACATGCACACTCCCTCCCAGGCCGAAACTGCATGGGGCTCTGGGTGCAGGGTCCTTCCTGGATCTCTCTCCACAAGGTGGGTCAGATGCTTCACCTCCCCTGACCTCTCTCTGATGGCTCCTCCATCTGGACGGGGTTTATTGGATGCTCCTTTCTCCCTGACCCCAAGACCCCTCCCCAAGGGGGCAAGCAGCATCTGGACCCAAATGATGAGCAGAGCTCCTGCAAACTCATCCCCCTCCCTGGCTTGGCAGAGAGGAAGGGGGCAGGACCCTCTGCTCCCTGACTGGGGGTCACTGCATGCAGCCCTGAGATTCTCCTTTCTCCCAAAGCACCCCATGGGGCGTGAGAGAGGAGGTTCTGAGTTAGGGCCCCCAAGCACCTCTGGTGCAAGAGAGGGGCAGCTGGAATTGGGGAGGGGGGATCTCTTGCTCTGGAGGATGAGCCCTCTCCCCCTCTCCTCTCTGCCTCCGGACCCTGTTGACCTGAAGACAACAACGAGGACATGGGGGGGGGAGGAGAGTGACAGGCAGGGGGGAGGGAGGTTTCTGCAGAGATTGAGGGCCCCTTCGTCAGGGATGCTTGAGCTGAGATCCTGCCTGGCACGGGGTGGACTGGATGCCCCTCGGGCTCCCTTCCAGACTCTCCCATGCTCTGCTTCTAGTGAGGGGTCCCCTGCTTCTTGGGGGGGGGGGTCTCCCAAATTAAGCATCTCTGGGGGGGAGGGTCCTCCCAGGCTCCTGCCTTGGAGGAGGAGAGAGCGGGGTTCTGGTTGTGCTCAGCCTGCCAAGGGTTAAAAGGAACAGAGCCGGATTTCAACTCCAGCAGAGATTATCTTTTGATCCATAAAGTCAAATAGTTTTGGTGTTGTTTCATGTTCCTTTGTGCAACTTGATTTTCTGAGGTTCCATTTCTATATGGAGTGTAGCTACTTCTGTATCAAAGCATAATATATTTTAAGATGTAACATTAACGGTAGAAATGCACCATTTCATCCACAGTGAGCTTCACTGCTAAAGTATCATAAATGTCGTTTGTCTGGAGAATTCAAGGAGGCGGGGAAATCATTAACCTGCTGGCACAAGTTTAATGTTGTTTGGAGACCATAACTCCCCGGAATTTCATATTAGCTATGCGTTTGTGTGTGTTCAGCACACAGAATTGTAGGTGAGATGGAATAAAATGCGTCCCAGGAAATTCACTTTGACTTCTTATTCATTGTTTCGAATGTGACTTCACTTACAGATGAGAATGGACCATGTTGATTGCTGAAAAATTACACCATCGTCCCCTCATTAATTTGAACAAGCCCTTGAACATTAATAAAAGAGGCACAGCTCTGATCCAGTAGCCACTCATATCATGCTCTAGGATGGCATTGATATAGGGGGCTTAACGTACGACTGGTGGAATCGGTGTTGGGAATTGCATTCCACCCTTGCTGCAGATATGTGGGACTGTTACATGTCACGTGTGTTTACATTCCAGCACAGATTGCTGGAGTCTTGTGAGCGGAACATCCGCTCTCTATTGCTTTTGTTTTTCTCTCTCACTGAGAAGAACGGCAAGGAGAGAAGCCATGTTTTCTTTGTCCTGATTTATGTACAATAAACGTAGTCTAGTATCCATGCCTAGAGCCAGATCTGTTGTGTGTTTACTCTGCTGAGTAACGTGTGCTCATGAATGCACAGCAGTGTGAGTCGCGGACGCACGTCGGAGGAAGATGACTGATGGATCTCCGCAGCGGCAAGGCTGAGAAGGGAGACCCAAGCCAGCTGGCCTTCCGTCCCACAATTCCGACAATCAGGACAACCAGCGGGAGACAGTGGCGTAGAAAGGGAAGTGGTGGGGGTGAGCCGCCCCGGGGGTCATCATGAGGGGGGTGACAAAATGCTCAACGTTTCCAAGCACAATTCAAAGTGTTGGTGCTGACCTTTAAAGCCCTAAACGGCCTCAGTCCTGTATACCTGAAGGAGCGTCTCCACCCCCATTGTTCAGCCCGGACACTGAGATCCAGCGCCGAGGGCCTTCTGGCGGTTCCCTCATTGCGAGAAGTGAGGCTACAGGGAACCAGGCAGAGGGCCTTCTGGGTAGTGGCACCCGCCCTGTGGAACGCCCTCCCATCAGATGTCAAAGAGATAAACAATTACCTGACATTCAGAAGACATCTTAAGGCAGCCCTGTTCAGGGAAGTTGTTAATATTTAATGCTGTACTGTTTTAACACTTGATTGGGAGCCGCCGAGGGTGGCTGGGGAAACTAAGCCAGATGGGTGGGGTATAAATAATAAATTATTGTTGTTGTTGTCATCAATGCCAGCCCCCAAAAGAAAGCAACAGCTTTGGGCAAACAAGGCCACCACGCTCCTTCCTCCGCCACCAGTTGCTCTGGTGGGAAAGGAGAAGCAGGGCAGGGGCAGTGGGGGTGGAGGCTGAGGCTGGGGAGAGGTCAGCGCAAGTCCGAACCTCCAGGACACCGACCCTTGAGCCCTTCTCCGCCCCAGGGAGGCCACGTGATGGCCGGCTGTGTAATGAAAACAGGGCTGAGTTCTTTTTACCTTTATCAGAGTTTTCAAGAAGGACAAACATGACGCAATTCTCTTCAGATTACAACCCTTTATTGATTAACAAGTAAGAAGCAATAAGGACTCAATCATTCATCACTCATACATTCCTTTCATACGTGCCAGATGGCTGGACCCACTAAAAGATGGCCAGTCTCTTGCATGGGTCGTCGGATGGCAGGCAGGACAGCACGCAAAGGCCTTCCCGGTTCTTATATAGGTCCAGGTCCCATATGGCTCCATTGTCTTGTATTGAAGGGGGTTGGACTAAGTGACAGCTGTCGTCACGCTTATTCCTCAAATAGACATGAATAGTGGAAAACAGTCTGGTTTCCGCCATGTTTGATTCCTCAAATAGATATGAATAGCATGTTTCAAACAGTCTAGTTTCTGCCATATTGTCACTGTCCTTATGAATAGCATGTTTCTTTCCACATGTCTTCTTTAAGAACAGTCACTTGTCTCAACCATATTTTCAATTCTCAGGTTATCCTTTATGTCATCCAGACGTGTTGTCATAACATGTCCAAAGATTAGGAAAAGAAGAAAGAAGAGGAAGCAGGATTGGATGAACATTATAAGAGACCATAATTTTGGATTGTGACTCGGCTGAGATTTGTTGGAACAGTTTTAATAAGGCTTTACAGAAACTGGACCTAGAAACTGGAGAGATACCAATTTGGATTATTAGACGATCATTATAAGAGTCATATTGAACTGTCTGAGTGGATAAGATTTGAAGGCTGAGCTAGGGAGGGAGATGAAGGGAAAGTGTCATCTTGCTGAAGGGGAGGAGAAAGGCTGGATACTAAATACAGCTGGGTTTATTCTGGAGTGCATATTCTGAATAATTGTTCCTACAGATGATTTTCATATGGATATGGGAGTTTCCTTTTCATCTCTTTTTTTTGTTTTAATATTAAGATTCATTTATTTTGAATTTAGGAGGACACACACAGGAAAAGGAGAGTTGGAGGTGGGAGGGACCTGCAAGGAACGCAGGGAAGGAAGGATCTCTCAGGGTGGGAGACGGGGAGAAGAGGGGGTCACGCAGGGAAGAAGTGGGGGAGCCTGCCTTTCTATTGGTTGATGAATGATATGATATATATATGATATTGTTGTTTAGCCGTGTCTGACTCTTCGTGACCCCCTGGACCAGAGCATGCCAGGCACTCCTGTCTTCCACTGCCTCCCGCAGTTTGCTCAAACTCATGCTGGTAGCTTCGAGAACACTGTCCCACCATCTCGTCCTCTGTCGTCTCCTTCTCCTTGTGCCCTCCATCTTTCCCAACATCAGGGTCTTTTCCAGGGAGTCTTCTCTTCTCATGAGGTGGCCAAAGTCTTGGAGCCTCAGCTTCAGGATCTGTCCTTCCAGTGAGCACTCAGGGCTGATTTCCTTCAGAATGGATAGGTTTGGGCTTCTTGCAGTCCATGGGACTCTCAAGAGTCTTCTCCAGCACCATAATTCAAAAGCATAAATTCTTCGGCGATCAGCCTTCTTGATGGTCCAGCTCTCACTTCCGTACATCACTACTGGGAAAACCATGGCTTGAACTATACAGACCTTTGTTGGCAAGGTGATGTCTCTGCTTTTTAAGATGCTGTCTAGGTTTGCCATCGCCTTTCTCCCAAGAAGGAGGCGTCTTTTAATTTTGTGACTGCTGTCATGATATATATGATACAAATGTGATAAAGGGTTTTCTTAGTTATTCTTCCCCCTTTCTCTTTTCTATATAATTGTGTTTTGTAAGGGTTGTTTAATAATTTTAGCTTTATTATTTTTCTTTTTTGGTTTTCTCTCTGTATGAATTTTTTGATGGGAAGTGAGGCGACCGTTCTGAGTGAAGCTCTTCCCACATTCCAAGCACTGATAGGGTTTCTCCCCTGTATGAATTCTGTGATGGGAAGTGAGCTCAGGCCCCTGCCTGAAACTCTTTCCACATTCGAAGCAATGATAGGGTTTCTCTCCTGTATGAGTTCTTTGATGGGCAGTGAGATTGGTGCTTTGACTGAAGCTCTTTCCACATTCCAAGCACTGATAGGGTTTCTTCCCGGTATGAATTCTTTGATGAGAAGTGAGACTGTTTCTGACACTAAAGCTCTTCCCACATTCTAAGCACCGATAGGGTTTCTCCCCTGTATGGACTCTTCTATGCACAGCAAGATCACCTTTCTGACGAAAGCTCTTCCCACATTCCAAGCACTGATACAGTTTCTCCCCTGTATGAATTCTTTGATGAGAAGTAAGATCGTGCCTGAGACTGAAGCTCTTTCCACATTCCAAGCACTGATACGGTTTCTCCCCTGTATGAATTCTTTGATGAGAAGTGAGAGTCTTACTGTGACTGAAGCTCTTTCCACACTCATGGCATTGAAAAAGTTTCTCCCCTGTATGAATTCTGTGATGGGAGGTGAGATGGCTTACCTGACTGAAGCACTTTCCACATTCCAAGCACTGATACGGTTTCTCCCCTGTATGAATTCTTTGATGAGAAGAGAGTGTGGCACTGTGACTGAAGCTCTTTCCACATTCCAAGCACTGATAGGGTTTCTCCCCTGTATGAATTCTTTGATGGGAAGTAAGATCTTGCCTGAGACTGAAGCTCTTTCCACATTCGAAGCACTGATGCGGTTTCTCCCCTGTATGAATTCTTTGATGAGAAATGAGAGTCTTACTGTGACTGAAGCTCTTTCCACACTCATGGCATTGAAAAGGTTTCTCCCCTGTATGAATTATTTGATGGGCGGTGAGATTGGTGCTTTGACTGAAGCACTTTCCACATTCCAAGCACTGATAGGGTTTCTCCCCTGTATGAATTCTTTGATGAGAAGTGAGATGGGTTTCCTGACTGAAGCTCTTTCCACATTCATGGCATTGAAAAGGTTTCTCCCCTGTATGAATTCTGTGATGGGAAGTGAGGTGATCCTTCCGATTGAAGCTCTTTCCACATTCTCTGCACTGATACAATTTCTCCCTACTCTGTGGTCTTTCGTGTGAAGTGAGGCTATTCCTTCGAATGAAGCTCTTTCTTTGATGGGAGGTGTCATGGGAGCTCTGACGGATGTTCTCTCCACATTCTGAATATTTATATGACTTCTCCGCTATGTGGATTCTGTTGTGGTCTCCCTTGTTCTCCCCTTCTAATTCATCACTATCTGCAATGAAGAGAGAAGCTAATTAGAGCCTCAGGAAGAAATGGAGCTAAAGTTTATTCAACAACGTTAATGAATGCTTGTGATAGAGGAAGAACTGAAGAGAATTAGATGTGCCGCGTCCTATTGTTTTCACTGTTTTTGTTTGCTGGTATTAACTGAAATATTGCTTGGCTTTTATCTGGGATGGATATTTTTCCAACTGAGTTCTGGAATCCACTCCATCTCCAATCAAAACTGATATTATGATCCAACAGGGAGCCTTACCGAGTGACTCCACGATCCCACAATTCTCCTCCTTGACTTCTTTATGCTGAGCTGTCTGGTCAGGATCCAGCAACATCCATGCCTTGTCTGTGAAACAAACAGCAACATCGTCACCTGAACACTCCCCAATTAGAAGTTATCTCAATCTGGTTGGTCTAAATTCAAATTTATACGTAAATCTCTTTCTTCATGTTGAACCGCCCTCCCATGTTTATGACGAGACCAACTCTGTCTTGTTTCCTTGGTAACAGAAGAGGAAAAATGACTATTACTCACACTTAATCTGAGCACTTAAATGGCCGCAAGAGCTCCTATTATAGATATTATTTTTTAGATATACAAATGCCATGAAAACACTCAGCCTACATATTTGTATCATTTATTATTCCTATGTTCCTCATTTTTAAAAGCAAATAAAAGTTATACAAAAAGAAAAAGGCAGCCCAGAGTCCCCACTTGCATTCAGTTTGCAAAGCAGAATCAGGTTCCTTTAAAGAGTCGTGGCTTCTAGTGCTGCGCGACGGATCAGTGAGTTGTCTGACATTGACAGGGCATCCAGATCACAGAACTGGTTTTAGACATTCTGAGCTGCCAATACATCGCTTTGGCCGGGGAGCTGTGATCTACTCCTGGCTCAAATTGCCTGCAGATGACAAAGGCTCAGGCAGGCAGGCAGGTAGGTGGGGGAGCCCGAAATGGTGCTCCCCTTCTCCATCTCCATCCGCCTGCCTGCCTCCCCCCACCCCCAAGCTGAGGAAGCCCCAATACCTCTCTGGCTGAATCCATCCTTGTCCCCATCTCCCCTCCCCTGGGACTCACCAGATCTCTCAGAGGTCCCTGGGAGGGAACGCTCAGAGGTTGTGGGGAGGGATACAGGAGACAGCCTGACCAGGTCAACCGTCCATCTTCCCTCTTCCATCTCCTCTAGCTTGACAGGATCCGTCTCACTCATCCTTCTTGAAGAGTCAAGGAGCCAAAACGAGCTGCAGGGTCCTGGGAGAGAGGAAGAAGCAAAGGCAGCCTGAGGCCCTGCAGGGATTCTCCTGCCCTAGATATTCCCCTGCCCCCGGAGAAGCACAAATGGGGCAGCCCCTTCCCAACAGAAGCCCCATTTTTTCTTTCGTGTATTCAATAATTTTTATGCCTTTTCCATTACTAAAATCCAACATAAACCACATTTTATCAACCTCAAATTACAATTACAATTCAAATAAATTATGAAGTCCATTGTACGTTTTGTGTGGCCTCCCGCGTGCTAGACTTCAAGGTGAGATAATTTTGTTTCATCCTGCTTCCGAAGTCTGTCTTAATCCAATTCCATTCTGTATTTATCTTAATGCCTTATCAGCAACTACAGAGTTTTTGACTTCCTTTTGTACTTAGACATTTAATAAATTTTATTTTTGCCAGAGGACTTCTGCACCCCATATATTTCCTGTATGTCAGGGGTGGCAAACTTCCAGGAGACTGCGATCTACTCACAGAATTAAAAACTGGGAGTGATCTACCCCCGTTTTATTGGGGTTCAGGTCAAAGTTGTTCAGCTTTTTTTTAGAGAGGGGAAATGCTCCGTTTTAGTGGGGTTCCTTTTGGGGAGGGGGATTAGCCGCTGACCAAAATATTGCTGTAGAAGCAGCTAAAACTACGTCTTCCATTCAAGAGCAAAGGGCAAAACGCAGAGAGGGAGAGGAGGCGGGGCCAGGTGCTCTTAGGCAAAAGCAAAGGAAAAGGAGCCCGCGATCGACCTGTGGGACATCCCTGCTGTATGTGATCTTCATTTTTTCCATGTTGATTCCTCATTCCTCCTCTTCTCCATCATGTCCTGCACAGCATCACAGCTTCTGCTCTTTTGCTCTTTCTTTCCTTTGTTACCAGAGAATGAGGCTGTAATTTCAACTGCGTCACACGCCATCTTCTCTTTTTTGTTATTGTTTGAGTCTAGATGGAGAGTAATCTGGCGTCCCACCAAAGCTCTGGCAAACTTCTCCTTCTGTCCAACTCTCTCAAGAACGATCTGGCGTCCTGCCAAACCTTAGCCGATCATCAAAGCTCAAGCTCCATTTCCTTCCATAGCAATACAGTGAAAGCTCAAGACTTTAAATCCATTTCAATTTTGTCACATAGTTCTCTTTTTAATTGTAATCCATAAATATAATCCCATTCTCTTTTTCTCCTCTTGCTTTTTATCAGTTTGTTTGCTTTCTGGGTGTGTGTGTGTTTGTGTGTGTGTGTGTGTGTGTGTTGCTGAATCATTTACGTTGCAAACATGATATATATATAAAGAAAAGGTAAAGGCTCCCCCCTCTGCAACAACATACATTTTTCATCGAAGGAAGTCTTTCCAGTTCAAATTGTTTCGGCTTTGTATCTGTTTCAATTTAGCAGTTTATGATCTTGTTCCTTCTGTTCCAGCACACGTCTGTATATTAGTCCTAATTTCACTCTAATCAACAGAGTACCTCTGCTTCTCAATGGCTGCATAGGAAGGTTACCGATAGGCAAAAGTGTTTTTGCACTCAGCACCTCCCTGCGTCTCGGATTCCATGCTGGAGCGAGAGCCAGGTATCGAGACAATCTGCAAGTGAAGCTCACTCGGCCCGGGCTCTGGGGGGAGCTTGCAAGGACAATTATGCTCAAATCATCCTTGTTTATTCTTTGCTAACAATCTCTGCTATTGTGGAGCAGCATCCATTAAGGCAGGCAGGAACCAGAAGCCCCATTTCTAAACAATTCCAGTGATTCCAATTTCAGCTCCTCACCCCACTTCGTAAGACTGCCATGGTCTGCACAGTAGTGACCAGAGAGGAGATACCATTGGACTCAGTGGGGCTTACTTATGAGTAAATCTGCAGAGGGATGCTCTGCATATTCCCCCTTCTCTTATATCCAGACAAACACTGATCCATGTGCCTGGTGAGTCTTTAGAGCAGACTCATTCCCTCCCTCCCCCCTCTGTCTTTTCTGCTTACCTGGTGGAGGCGGTTTCCCCCTCTAGCCCCCATGCATCCATTTCCCGTTCTTTACCCCCTGCCACCTAGCAGACCTCTCCCTGCCTCAAACGGTGATGCTGGAGGTGGGAGAGGAAGAAGCAAAGGGCGTCTCAGAGGCCCTGCAGGATTTTCCTGCCCTGGATATTCTACAAATGGGGCACCCCTTCCTAACAGTAGCCCCATTTCTAAACATCTCCAGTGGTTCCAGTTTCACCTAGACTTATGGGTTTATGGGGCTCACAGACGAGGTCTTGGTGTCCAAACCAGACACCATTCTGTCCCCAAGCCTGAAAACTGCAACATCAGATCATGGGCAGAAAATAGACAAGTAGTTATTACCTGTAAGGTGCCCCCATGCAAGGTGCTTTGTTTGGAGATCCCTGTTGACGCTCTTTGAGCTCTCAATAAGGTCATTCCCCTGATTCCTCAAGTGCAAGGACCCAGGGCTGTCTGAGTTAGGGGGTTCCTTGGGGTCCAGGTCAGCTGACTAGTCAGGATTGTCACCTGCAGAGTATATGTCAACTAAAGGATAATAGTCTGCCTTGGATCGGGGACTTTTGGAGGTGTTGCTGAATGTGGAAGCAGAGGAGCTGGTGATGCCACACTTTGAATAATCTTGAGACTGATACACCACTCCTCCTTAGGATATTCCCTGTGTTTATACACCATATTCACAAACCTTACGCTCCTCTTGTGACAAGATTTCCAAAGGCTTAGGGTAGCTTGAGAGAAGTAGCTTATTTTGAGACAGAACCCATTTCCAATTCTTGTTTATGAAAACCCTCTCCCTAGTTGGTTTGGTTTTGGCTTCTGACAGGACATCAGACTATTTGATAACCTTGCATATCGTTTCATATTGATATAAGGATCTGGTGTGCAGATTCCAGTAGAGTACAAACTTCTAAAGTCTTCTGTCTAGAGCAAGAGCTACACTCAAGCAGGTTAAAAAGTTTTTTAAAGTCAACTTTTTTATGTTGCACTATTTGTAATTTTTAATGTTTTTGCTCTTCTTTGTGCTTATAGACCTCCTTTTGCCATCATTTGCCCTCTCGGCTCTTTTAACTTCCCGTGTTGATCTATTTTAAAAGATATTATTGTTGTTATCTGGTTCCACACTCTCTGCCATATTTTATTCCATAAGGTTTTACAAGTACCTATCAGGATGGTAAGAATTTTATTAGTGTCAGCCTAAAAGGATTTTATGCATTCTATGTCCCTTGTTAGTAGTACAAGTCACCCAATGACTGATAATTCCTCATTTGCACCAGAGGCTTGGGAGAAGGAGTCTTTTATCCTTGTAATAGCATTTCCTGAGGATAGTTCTGAAATTTGCATTCAGATTAGTTCCTCTACTTGTTTAGCCTGAATTTGGCCTTAAGTCGCTTTCATGTGAAGTGAGGCTCTCCTTCTGAATGAAGAGCTTTCCTTGATGGGAAGTGGACTGGGAGCTCTGACTAAAGTTCTCTCCACACTCTGAATATTTATATGGTTTCTCCAATTTTGTGGATTTTCTTGTTGTCTCCTTCCTTCTTCCTTTCCAATTCACCACCTACAACCTACAATCTACTGTTATATGGCAGTATTATTATCCATTAATAATAATAATAATAATACCCCGAGGAAGAAATTGAAGCCTGAATGACTGAACAATGCAAATGAATGTTTGTGAAAGAGGAAGAAGGGAAGGGAGTTACTGCCTTTTTTGGCTGGTATTATCTAACTTATTTATGGAACTGGAGATTCAAAAAGCCTGGCTCTTTCCAGGGATGGATTTAATTTGGCTCAGTCGTGGAATCCGCTCCATCTCCAAGCTCAGTCATTTTCTTTGCTCATACCAAAAACAGAGAGATGCAGAAAGGGGAAAAGAAAATTA